CTGAAACACGACTGTCACAAACTGTCTCAAAGACTTAACTAAACTTTCTGTTGTTACACGTTAAAAGTGGGTTAGTAATCTAGATGCGGGAACATTACTAGAATGTTTTGACACCAAACTTTGGAGATATTTCTGAAATTATTCAAAATAATTTATTTACATTCAAGACTGGACAAAAGCAACACCTAGTTTCCTAAAATTAGGGCTGACAGGACTTTAAATGACTAAACATGTAAACCATCTTCTCTGATGTAAGGAAAAACTCTCAGTCTCCTCAGAGTTCAGTGCAGGAAAGTTATGATTTGTCCAAGAAGGTGTACATACAGTAAAAAGAAGTGGGTCCAGGATAGATGCCTTGGGGTATCCCACATATTAGATTTCACTACAGTTTCAGTTTAAAAGGTTGGATTTGAACTGCTTTTAAACCGTCACAGAGATTCCCATTTTATAATGTCAAAGGATTATAAAATCCAATTTATTGAAGACTAAATAAATAAATTTCACAAAAAGAGATTGATATTCATCCAAAAAGTTTTGCTGTTCAAGACACTAACTTGATTAGTCATGATTTTGCAAAGGTTCTTTTTAATGCATTAGAGGAGTAGGTCTTGTCAGTTTGTTTTAAAAGGAATGACTTATTTGTGATCTGCTTCACCTCCCATTAAAATAAAAAGTGACCGAGTCTTTGACACATTCTTTGGGTCCGTCTTTTTGGCTCTGAATGTTTAAATGCGTTTTTCAGTATTGAAATGAGTTCCACTGTCCTCGAGTCGAAGAAATGTGCTGAAATCATTTCGCTCTTCGATATGTCCATGACAGCTATCCGCTGCCAGATAGTTAAAGGTTGTGTTGTTATGCTCTGTAGGCGTTGCCACTAAATGCTGCTGATTAGACATTGCCTTGTTTTCACACATTTTCAGTTTTGTGGTCTTTTTCTTAGATGCTTCTCAATTAATGTACCGTTTGGGATTGTTGTGCAGTAAAAAGTACTCTTACGATTAAATTTTCCTCACACGCATATGAGATGAAGTCATGTTATCTAAGTAACACCTGTTGTCATGCAGTCGAAACACACCCAGTCTTTTAAAAGGCTTTTTTTTTTTATCAATTTGAGCGCTGAGATTCAGCTCAAGTCTCCTAAAAGTCCAAGGAGAGGGGTGGTGTTCCCAGAGGGGTGTTTGCTTAAGCCTCATTTTATAGTCATGATGCTTATTCCAGACACGATCTGAGGCTGAAACACAGAGAAGTGGCACAAAACTTGTAAACCACTTCCTCTCTTCAGAATTTAGATGACTTGTTGCTGTTTTTACGAGATAACCATATTTTTTTTTCTATACTTAGATGCACCAAACATGGTTTGGATGTTGTTTTCCTCACACAAACCATGCCAAGTTGGTTTAACCTACGAATGTCGCCCTAAGATCCAAAAACTCCTTTCATGCAAGAGAGATTTGTATGCAATTGGTGGAGGTATTTCCTGCATTATTTCCATTTTGCTCCCTGGTATGCCCTTTGATGCCGGGGCACATACTGTTCATTGCATTAAAGCTGATTGCAGCTTACCTTTAAAGGTAAAAATGCCTGGAGCAATCTGGATGGTGATCTGTGGTCAAGGCTAACTTCTGCTCTGAGTTATCACTTCAATGTGCCGTGACATTCTAATGGCTCGGTCCCAGGCCGGATCAAAGAGCTGCTTGTGGTCAGGGATGGAGATTACACTTGGCCGCTGTGCCATTCCCTCATAGCAGCCAGAACAGATCCCAGAGGTTTTCAGATCCCAGATGTTTATTGGCCCTGTACCAAACAAACAAGACGCACATCACTGAACACAGTCATGCAAACGTAATCTTTCTTTGTGTTATGCATGGTTCAAATTGTGTCTGTTGCTTGCATTTGTGCTCCTAGACCTAAATCTGTCTCCAGAGATTAAACAAGGACAAGAACTAGAGGACAAGTTTAGCTTATGGCCTGGATTCTCAAACTGTGGTACAAGTATCACTAGTACTACAGAGGAAACTTTTATATGAATTATTTACAATTAGTAGTGTCAGTTATTTAAAACAAAAATAATCAGATGAATTACTCTGTAGTGATGTGATTAATCACAATTAATCTATTCTTTACTTTGTAAACTTGAAATGTGTCTAAGAAAATCTTTTATTGTCTCAAATCAAACATGTCTGAAGACTGTCAGTTTTCCAAGGTCTCATTTTCAGGAAGGTTTAAAATAAGTGACTTTGTGTCAAATGTTAATTTTACTATAGCTAAACTGGCTCTTTGGTGGAAGGGTAATTAATTGTTGCAATATGTAGAAGTTTTTGTACATAATAAGATGATTAGGATAACTTTCAGGAGTACTTTTTAAAGCAACATTTGTTTGACTCTCCTCGCTCATTGTTTCAGTCTCGGTTGTGACTGCAGTAGACGCTGCTGTAAACTAGACCTCTGCACGAGAGACACTTTTAGGTCAGAATAAGTAAAGCGATTAATCTCCATTATGTAATATTAACATGTTAAACTTTTTAGATTAATCACGCATTAACCCGTTAACGTGTTAACGTTGACAGCCCTGCTTACAATATAAAAATGAAGCAAAATAACTTTTATACAGAGTTAACAAGTCCAATCTCAACAAGGATAAGTGGTTAAAGCACATTGCCATTTGCTTTAAATGAATCCAGCACTATAAGGAGGTAAAGTGGTTAATATTTCACAAACTCCCAGTAGAAATCAAAACAGTTGAGAGTAAACCAGATTTGAGATTATTATACTCAATGATCAGTGTTTTGTATTGTTAAAGTACTTTTAACAGTACAATTGCCTGTATGTAAAACGTGTATATCTCGTCTTCATTAAAGGCGTCCAAAGAACCGTGTCCACAAACAGAAGCTGTAAGTTTGGGCTATTTTTCGCTTCACACTCAGAAACTAACAGCTACATGACACAGCATTTAGCTCATTGTCACGTCAGAAGCTGTTGTTTTAATGTGTCTTATTTGAAAAACATTCCAGTTAGTGAGGTGGCACTAAGCGGTTTAAAATTACTTCCAGTAATACAAGAAAGTCAATATAAAGGCAAGAAGGAGAAGAAGAAAAAAACTGAGCAAATAAAAAGAATAAGAGTGGAAGACAGATGAGATGCGCAGGAGCTGCAGAGCGTTTTGGCTCTGACTCTACAGTCCCTGTCAGAGTTCAGCAGCACAAATCATCTGTAGGAAGTGACACAGTCTGTCACTGATTAACAAATCATAATATTGTAAAGAACATGAATGAACAGGTGTGTGGGTCAATTCCGACTATGTCTGTTTGATTTGCAGATTCATTAACATCCTTGTTTTCCACACTGTAATTCCCAGGTGGGGAACAGCTTCAAACCACAGGCCTAATTGGGAGCATGTGTTTTTGCACAGCGTCCAAGGCATGCTGGACTTTTCCAGGCTCAGTTTAACTTCTGGAAAGGATCTCACAAATCCAGTATAGGATGTATTTCAATAAATCAATGTAAAACATTTTAAATTACCATAAGCAGTAGGCAAGTTTCTTTGCTGATGGTTCTAAGGACATTTATCCGCCCTCCTTTTGTTTCAGCCTGTAAGAGTCCCTTCACTCTTTTCAAACTGTCCAGACCACTTGAGTGCCTGTGTAAAGAATAAGGTGGGTCTGGATCTGACAGGCGCGTCTCTTGAGTCGGCAGCAGACCAAACTGTGGCCGTCAGCTGGGCGAGATCTGCTCCTGGCAGGCGGCACAACGTCCTGGGACGGCCGTCCAGGAGACAACTGTCTTATTAATTAGAAAGCCAAGACACTGATTAGGTTCAATTATGGTACAATATTTAAGTCTAATAAAGATAATAGTTAGACTTACCAGGTAATTGTGATCTAGTAAAGTTGCAGTTTGTGTCTTCAATAGGCTACATTATCTGCATCATCATCAGAAATACAGAGATTTTCACAGTTTGTTTCAGGTATTCGTGGATTTTAGCAATTTATAGGCAGTTTGCAGGCAGTCTGGTATTCACAATGCACCGCTGTGAATACCAGGGAAACACTGTAACCTGGCATTTATGACCTAATTTTCCTTTTGGATTCTACTGAAGAGGTTCAGAGACGTCTGGTCAAGTCATGGTGATGCTCAAAATAGCGGTCGGTGAAAACTGATGCGGCTTCTTTTAAGCCTAATTGTCAGCTTCTATCTTGATTAACACTAACTAATCCTGCCATGGCAACATAAAACCTGCAAAAAGGTAAAATAAGTCATCCACTTGTTTTTTGTTGAGTACCAAACAGACCTCTTTACCAATTTTTCCAAAAATAAATTTCAGACATGATTCACCTGTTTCATTGTGGATCATTTGGAGCTGATCATCTGCAGCCTCCCTCTGCATCAAAGCGCCTCATGCTGTCTGTGTTTACTGCAACAAGCCGGATCCCTTCAAATTAGCATCCTGAAGGACTTTCTGAAATCAAAACCATGTGTTTGCAAACATTTATCTTTGCTGAATTAGACTCTATCCCTGCTCTGTCCCCCAACCAACCCTGAAGAACGACCTCGTTTATGTGATGAAGCTGCAGCATAATTACAGCGTGCATCTCCTCGGTCGTTTGCCGCTTAGTTAGTCATATCATTTGCAAATTAGGGATGTATTAATGTGGCCTTTACCCAAAATATACTGGTTGAATTGAGTTAATTTTGTTTGAATATTTTGCATTTTGTAGGTCTTTTTGAAAGCTGTAATCTCAGCATGTAAAATCCATTGGAAGGGTACAGTGAAAGCATTAAATATGCCAAATTTACTTCAAAATCTTTTTGTCTGTGAAACTGAGGAAGGTTTTTCATGTGTTTCTGTCAGTGGTTGTTGTCAGCTGAGCTTCAATAGATGAAACAATCCTATTCAGGAGCTACTGGGTGCGCGTGGCCTGCTGCGCCACAACACTCAGATCTTCCACTGCTGCACATCCTGAATGTTTTTGTGTCAGAGACTACATGAGAGCACGCTTATAATTAGACATGTGTTTTCTGAGCTTTGAGTTATTCAGTTCATCTCTTTGTTTTTTTTGTTGTTGTTGAAGCGATGAACAATCGAAGACGAGGGGTGAGGAGTCCTGAAGAGCTTCTTTTCAGCCTTTAGAATTTGGCCACAGCGACCCACAGAGAACCGAGAAGGCGCTGAAGTATTTAATCGAGATGTTCCCAGGAAGCTGACACACACCAGAGATCCTCTCAGGTAGATTTCAGACTCTCTGTTGTCTTTCTGCCCTTAACCTCTTTTCATTATCAGATCTTATTCGGGGTAAAACATGGAGGATATTGGACTCCTTTTAGACTTTGATCCGGACGGCTCCACTGACTTTGCATGTTGGGGACAGATGGACCAAAACTTCCACTTTCAGACCCAGCTGGATTCCTTCCTGATGGACTGCCAGGCAGCCAGCGGTCAGCTCTCCCCCTGGTCTTCTTTTGGCTGTCACTCTGTGTTTTCAGACACACAGCTGACGTTCACCGACTTGGACGTACAGTCACCGGGACTTGGCGCTTGCGCTGAAGGCGACGGATGCTCTGCCGATGAACCTCTGGAGGCGGCCAAGCGCCGGACACGGAGCCTGGTGGTCCACCAGCCATACAAGGTCCAACGGCACGCCGCCAACATCCGGGAGAGGAAGAGGATGCTGAGCATCAACTCTGCCTTTGAGGAGCTGCGCTGCCATGTCCCAACGTTTCCCTATGAGAAGCGACTGTCCAAGATAGACACTCTGAGGCTGGCCATAGCCTACATCGCCCTGCTGAGGGAGATCCTCATGTCGGGCTCTGACCCCAAATCCTACGTTGATGAGTGCATGAAGAGCGGCTACAAGAATCAAAGCAATGCAATCTGGAACACAAGTGGTGAGATAAGATAAGATAAGCCAATTACTTCTCTTTCAGAAACTGCAGCTTAAATATGTGATAATAAAGATCTAATATTACTGAAGTAAACCTCTGATTAAATATATTTCTCAAACATTTTGATTTTCATATTCACATATGCAAAGGTCTTTTTGAAGTTGAAGGAAAATTAAGCAGGTGGTTTTAATCAAGAACTAATTGTTGTGTTGTTTTCTTCCAAGGTTCTGAACAAAGGTTTTAATAAACACACTGCTAGGGTTCTTCAAGTTGAATAATTGCACATTGGCTGTCAATATGTTTAAGTAAGTGGATTTACACTTGATGCAGTTAAATCTGTCATTGGGAAATAAAACAACTAAAAATTTGGTTTTGACTTTTGGGGAAAGTCAAATCATGATGTCATCTAAAACTGTTATCTTGCAACAACATATCTGGAAACTATTCACAACACTTCATTTCCACATTTTGTTGTGCTACAAACTTAATCCAAAAATAGATTGTAACAGGTTTCCATCAAAATAACACACATAACGTCAGAGGTTTGAAAAATTTAGGTTTTCTTCCCTTTCTTCCTTTGCCACGACTCAAAATTGAGTGCAGATCTATTATGTATTTGCAGCTCATCCTTTAGATGTTTCTCCAGCCTGATTGGAGTCCAATTGTTCTAAATTCAGAAGAATTGACGTGATTCGGAAAGAAACACATCTTTATTGACTTAATTTCAGACTTCTGAGACCAGATTGCGCAAATCTAAAGGACAGCATTGAACACTCTGGTCTTCATTATTTGGAAGAAGCACAATGTTGGAATCAAACTCTCCCTTGATCTGGTTCCCTGAACAAATGGAGTAAATTCTAAAGAACTGTCTTGGTCAGAGATATGATCAAGAACCCAGTCATCACTTAGGAAGAAATCCAGTGTTCCCATGTGAAAGGAGAACCAACTCAAGGTCAACCACTGATAATGCAGAAACCATTAGGCTTTTAGCACAGAGTGCCACTCAAATTCTTCAGAATAACACCTTAGAGAAACAATATCACCTGGGCTGATGAAACAAACCTGGTTCAATGAATTTAATTGTTAAATCTAAACTTGCCTGTCTACCAACGTTGTCCATCAAATCTGACTGAGATTGGCAGGATCTGTAGAGAAGAATGGTAGAGAGGTGTGCCAAGATTGCAGAGAGAGTCCTAACTTGACTTGAGGCTGTAAAAATAATTTCTTTATATTAATTTGCAAAACTGTCAAAGAAACTTTTTTCACTTTCCCACTACAGGGTATTGTGTTTAGAAAGGCAATTAATTCAATCCATTTGGAGTAAGTCTGTAACAACAAACCATAGAAGAACGAAGCGCTGTGAATATTTTCTGAGTGCTCTTTAATTAGTCTGACAGGTTTTGGACGGATCATGGTGAATCCCATGAGGCTCATGCAGCCTTGAGCAGCTTTCTCTGCGTTCGGTTTGCACTTTATTCCCAGGTGTGGTTCCCAGAGGCATTCGGCCTTAAATGAGCCTCGGTTTCCTTGTATTCATACTAGCTTCTTTGTCTTAATTAACTAATTCTTTGGGAATGGACTCTGAAAGCTCTTGTAGCTTTTCATGCGTAAGTGCTCCTCTTTTCGTAAAGCCCACACTGAAGACTTGTTAAACAGTCATTAAAATGTATTAAAACTCATGCTTTTGCTCCGTTTTTGTCCCTTTGTGCCCCCCAGATCTGACAGCCCGTCTCTCCTGGATAAAGTGGGATTAGCTGGGAAACACGATGGTATCCTGAGTCTGTCGGCTGCAGCTATGTGTCAAAGACGGACAGACCTGCTGGCGTGGTGCAGCCTGCTGACAGACATCTGCAGACTTCTCACCAGGTCACACACCTCCGCCTTTATCAGCCTTCCTCGCCACTTTGTTCCAAGTAGCTTTTAATATTCTAATTCACTATTAACTGGTAATTGAGAGGCATTGTTTCAGAAATTGAGGTAATAAGGAGTCCTGGCACAGCTCAGCTTTCCCAAACGGATGCCATTTGTCACGGAGAGGCAAAGCTGGCATCAAACTCAAAGGACTCAAACTTCTGCACACGGAGCTGAAGGGTTTTCTGGACTCGTTTTCATCACGCTGCAGTCGATGTGTTGAAAACAGCCTTCATCTTGTAAATAAAAGATCGAAATGGACGGTCAGGTGCTGCTTCCAAACAGCAGAAACTGAATTACTCAAATAGCTGTTAATTGTGTTTTATTTAAGCTTTTCATTTGTATTTTGAAATAAAGTGGATTATGAAATTGCTTTCCATGAAAAGATGTAGACTACATATCATCACCTTCTTAAAATAATGGCCTCAGTCATTTTTTGCCAGAAGTGATTTAAGCCAAAAAGAAAAAACACTTTTGGCAAAAAATGACTTGTGCCATTATTTTAGGAAGGTGATTCAATATTAAGAACATTTTTAATCATGAAATGTGACTATTTTGTCTTGGAGATGTGTTTTCCGCTTCCTTTTTAAGATTTTAAGCTCTCTGAGTAGTTGGGCTAAAATGCTAAACATCTTTAAACATCTTTCAAAACCATCAAACTATGTTTCCAATTTGTGCTGATTGGAAAAAAGTCAAGTGACAATAATGCTGCCTTACTATTTTACATTGCATTTTCACTGTTTTTTTTTTATTATTTTCTTTGCTTGAGATTTAATATAAGCGTATTATTTAAAAGAAAATAGATGTTAAAAGGAACTCTGAGGACAGGGGAAGATATCTTCAAATCTCACTGGAGGGAAACTAATGCGGGATTATCACTCTGATTCGGGAAGGATTATAAATAATTATTTTTCCTACACTTCACAGATATTATCAGAGATGTTTAGAATCTGCCAGATTTACTGACCCTAGCCCTAATCCAGAACAGATAACAGGAGACCAGAAAGACGATCAGCTATAAACACTGACCCTAAATCTCAAACATTCCTTTTAAAAATATTTCATAATCCCTTGATCTGTTTCTTTTTATATTTTTTACTGCATTTCCCAAATTCTAAAGAACACCAAAAAAAACTTTTATTGTTGCAGTGTCTCCTATTCCTCACAGGGGGATCTCAACCCGTCAGAATACCATTCGTCTGAGATATGAATTAGTCATCTGAGTGGAAATTCTGGAGGCCAGAAGGAGTAGGATCCTTCCAGTCTGGGGCTTACATCAGGGTCTGTATTTTATTTATTTATTTCCTCTCGTTTTTTGCACCGAGGTGGTTTATTGATTTAACTTCCGACCGACCTGCTCTGACAAACGCCGAGAGGCTGTTCTCTCGGCTGGCAGGTGTGTTTATCGTGTCAGAGGAGCTCTGCGGTCCTTGGCGTTGGACTTGTAAATATAATCAGTGCATTGCATCCTGTGAGGGAGTGGGCTAAATTTAAATCTAAAACAGTTCTGTGTAAAGGTCACGCAGCAGCCAGAACAGAGATTAATTGATTTTGATCTTTTAGAAACTGCTTAGATAAAACTGTGCAGCTACAGTTAGTGGTATACCTAAAGATGATTTTAAAAAAGATATTTTATTACAGTAGTAATAGTGTGAGATTGAGCAGCGAGCAAATTTAGGAGAGTTACTATTTCCATGTAGTCAGTTTCTGACCTAGATTACGAGAATGATATTTATTTGTCTTTCCTATTTAAGTCTTCAGTCTCAGATCATATCTATATTAGAGGTGTAGCAATACCTAAAACACACAAGATGATTCAGGGTATTGAGTTCACAAGAATATTAGTTTCAAGAAAACTTCACATATCAAATGTATGCTTCAAAAATCCTCTTATTCTGCATTTTTATTGGTTTGGGTCGGCCATAAGTTGCGATAGTGGTGCTTTCTGCCGCTGTCAGAAACAACTTCCTGTTCATGTCTCGTTTCTCACTCTTGCTTTTTGTCGTTTTTACTGGGAACCCAAACTACTGCCAAACAGTTGATTTAAGACTTGTTGGGGCATCTTCTATTACAATGAAGTCAGGACGACTGCAACTAGCTAGAGATGAGATGGCAGTCAACTCAACGACAAATATTGTGATGTTTCAATATCTTGTACGACATGTTTCTACACCCCAGGGAAACAGGAAGCTATGAACAACTAATATGTTTCCAAAATACTTTTATCAAGTGAAAACATTAAATAAACACAATAATGCCAAAAGTATTTGCTCATCCATCCGAATTGTTCAGTTCTATAAACCCATAATATTGGTGGACAGTATTCAGCATGCACACTGGTTCTACAAATCTTTGTAAAAGAATGGGTCTCTCCCAGTTTGGCAGACTTCCAGTGTTATAAAACGATGGAAGACAACTTGTGCAATATGTCCAGGCATTATGTCAATGTCTACTTGCTCTTCCCCAGTCAAACGTCACTGGCATCGTTACAAAGTGGAAATGATTGGGTGTGACAGAAACTCAGCACATTACTAAGCAGGTTCAGCCAATGAGGCGCTTTCACACTTTCAAACTTCATGCAACCTTCAGATTTACTCAACAAGTCCAATCCTATCCTGCAACTTTTGGATAAACTAAAGCAAATATTTGACCTAATTTAAATAACTAGTTTGTATCTCCAGTCTTTGGCGGAGCTGAATGACATGCTGACGAGGGAGTTCAGAGTAGAAATGCATCTAAACCTTGCAGGACAGCAGCTCTCAACTGGACTTGGACCCCCGTTATGCAGCTTCATGGAATGGGTTCCCATGCTGGGGCAGAAGACTCCAAGGTTTATGTCAAATGGGAGAGCATTATAGCATTGGGCTGTTTTTTAGGGATGATACTGAAGTTTATATTGTGAAGGAAAATTGGGAAACACTTTCAACAAAACAGTGTATAATGCGAATGCTGCAGTTGCATTTATTGTTTTGGACTAGTTGGTGAAATTTCTGAAAGAGGATAATTCCCTCATCAGTATATCTCAGTGTTGATTTTTTTTTTCAAACTATTTCAGTGATGAGATTATTTTACCGCATCATTTATGTATTTTTATTTTTATGACCAGAGGTGCCATTAAATTTGGAAGGGTGCTAGATTGGCTTATATTTTTATATTACAGGAAATCTATTACATGCGGTTTCTCTGTCTCTTTTCTGTTCCTCTCAGTAACTCCCCCCCCACCCCCACCCCAAAAAAATAACACAAATTTCAATGATGTTTATATATAGTAAAGGGAAAGAGACTGTTTTATGGTCAAATTTTATAGGTTAAGTCCACAGAGTTTTCACAGCAGAATGACATCATTAATATAAGAAAGAGGGCTGGGCGGCCTGGGTGTGCAACTTTTTAAAAACAATATTACCAGATGCGTAATCCCCTAAAAATACACGGTGTACACAGCTTCCCAGCTTTTCATGAGCAGCATTAACTCAATCTGTCCTTCAGGGCTTCACTGAAGCATTTTCCTAAAAAAAAAAAAAATAAACATTTGACATGGGATCTTTAAGCTCATTAATCTGTTGCAGGGTAATTTATCTCCAAATGTCATCAGAAAATTTAATAAGTGAGAAGAGAAAATTGTAATTTTTCACATAGTTGCATGATAATTCTGCACATAATTGCCCAACAATTGTGACTGACCACAGAAAAAGCAGGACCAGGTCTACTCTAAGCCATCGAATGATGTCAAATAGGTGGAAATCAAAAGAGAAATTAATGAGATGTGACCATTTGAATGCTGGAACTCTAAAATTCAGAAAAGAAAAAAAAACAGATTGCAAAGTTTCTTCACAAACCTGCTTCTTTTCTCAGAAATGTATGTTTTTTTTCTTCTTTTTCTCTGTTCTCTGCCAACTTGTTCCTACATTTGCTGTGGAAAATCACAATTTTCTTCTAAGAAAGTCAAAAACAAATTTCTTAAAATGAAACCTTGGATCTGAGAGAGTAGAATAAATCCACAAAATTCCACTAACCTAATAATTATACACACAGGATGTATCAAGAATGTCATTCAGGCATTTGGATAAAACTGTTACCTGCTGAGACAGGTTGGCTGGAAATGTGCAGTTCTACAAACATCAACATAGAGAGAAAAGATTTTCTGGACTCCAGTTTTCACCCTGAGACCAGTCTGTCTGGCTGATGGGGTTTAAGAAATGAACCTTTATCAGGTTCCCTTTACCTGGTTGACAGAGCGTTTGATCTGTCAACCAGGTGACCTGACCAAGTTGCAGAATAATCACCCGTCCTTCCTCTAAAACTCTTCCACCCAGCTCTCATCCTCATGGTGATCCGGATCTGCTTTTCTCATCTCTGCTCAGCTTCAGAGGATCTTTTTCTTTTATCTTCTCAGTGGATCATTCGGATCAGAGTGTGTGTGTGAGTGTGTCCCAAACTTGAAACAGACCCTTTAATATTTGAAACCTTCTCGGATGTGAATTGGACCAGTAAGGCGCTTCCTCATCATCAGGCCTGCAGCCCCCCTTCAGAGGTCGGATCAAACCCGCTGTGGTAGAGTTGAGTCTCTAAAGTCAGATCAATGGTGTCCAGTGGAGAGGTGGGGATATTACTGGTTACACAGGTGACAGTAAGACTGTAAACAACCCACTTCTTGTTGACATCCACAAACTGCTCCGACCCAATCAGAGGAACAAACACCACAACTGTTTGCTCAGTCCAAGCCCTGAAAGGCTGGGACCAGCCAGGCCACCTGGCTGAAACATCGCTGTGAACCTGGACTAACCCTCCTGCTAACCTTGGCACCAGGGTCACAAGTGCAGCCCTAATTACGCTGCATTATTTGTGGAAGAGGCCGGTCCATCGGCACCCGAGTGCACGGCTTTGCTCATTTGTTCAGCAAATTTACTCTGACCCCCATCAACACCGACCAATCCCCCTCCCTAACCCGTTTCTCCTGGTGAAGTCCAGATTCTGGAAGTAGCACGTGCATAATGAATATAATTGTGTTATAACCAATGTAATTGCTCAGGTGACACTGTTGTTTGTAACTGTCAAGTCAGTGAAGTGAGCTGAGGAGAAGTGTGACTGAACGGAGCTTCAGCTGCTTTTTACCGACCATGAACCTTCAAATTAACACCCGGTCCGAAAACAGTCATGCATTTTTATTCTGTGAAAGTCTAGAGTCGTCTCTTATTGCCTTTTCTCCATGGTAACTCTAGTGGAGCTGCAGAAATTCACGGCTGACGAGGGAGAATTTTTTAATATTTCAAGAAAATGACAAGAAGTCCTATTTTCAGTTTGATAGTGGAGTGGGCTCCACCAGAAAAAAAATTGGCAAATGTGGTTTAATCACAATTGATGTCATTAATAATATTGCAAATTTACCTTTTCCTAACATCCTGCAAAAGGATGTCATTTCTACATAACTTGGGTTGTATGCTGAAGTGTCTTTAACCGATACAATAAAACTTCAATACTTATAAGTATACTTATATAAGACATAAGTACTGACACTTATATCAGGGGCAATCGAGAAAACAAAACTGTTTGGTTCCTTTATAAAATCCATGATTTTTTTGTTTTGGCTGAAACAGACACATAGCTGTAAATCATGGCATCTTGTCTTCACGCACTTCTCCAGAGCATAAAACCTCAGAGGGCTGCACTTCAAAGCCCCACAGCCATAACTTCACATGGCAGCGGAGCACACTCAGGTATTGAGCTTACAGTTTTTGAGGAATGGGGGGGTTAGCTGTGCCCTGTTTTCCTTCCACCTTCAGATATCAAAGCAAACTCTGACAGTGGGGGTCTCTGGCATCTCGGGCCCCCTTTCCACAGACGAGACAAAGTACTGCGCAACGAGCCTGCATTGCATTAAACAAAGTCTAAATGTTTCAAGCTGTTACACACTCCCTGGTGAAACCTCTATGAAAGGGCCCCTAATGCGATTTCAGAAACACGTTGTCATCGGCCCCAGGGCAGCAGGATGGAGAGGTGTGGGTAAATGCATTAGCAGGTTCTCGGTGTTTCAGGTTGACTATATGACTGCAGGTAAACCTACGGTTTTATAACCAAACGCTTACCTCAAAAATAAGCCTAGGTATTTATTGGGAGTGAGGAATAGTCCCAATAAATAGCTTAATTTATATAAAGGTTATTGTGCAATTTGTCACCATGGAGGTATTTTTACTGACTCTGTTTAAATCTTTGAGTCAGACCGCTTATTCTCATGTTCTGATAATAGGAAGTCAGATTTTACTCTTTTAAAACTGTCTGGTTTGGTTTTCACTGTTTCTCAAGAGGATTTTTATTAAACATTTTTTCATTAGAATCTTTTTCCTCATTTTTTTTATTTGTCCTTTACTTGTTAATGCCTCACTTACTAAGAGCTATTAATTATTAAAACTATACCTGCTTTTATTTTCTATATTGAATAACGGCAGATATAATTTAAATAAATGGCAATATATTGACGGAAGCAAAGAAAGGAACTGTTTCATGGTATCGTGTGAAACCTTCAGCTGGGATCTCAAAACTCTCATTGCTACCATTTATGGAAAGTGAGGTAATATTAGGAAACCATTAAGCACGAAGAACTTCTTTACTGACGCAAATTTAGGTGCTGAGATAAACAAAACAACATTATTTTCCTTACCCTGCAATAAAGAAAAAACAACAATTTAACTGATATTGTCAAGACCAAATAGTTAAACCATTGCTATTTCTGATGTTCTCATCCTACAAATTACAAAATACTGTGATAAAATTTTAACTCCGTATCATTAGTCTCTAATGTCGAGATTTTCTGACTTTGATTTTGTGCACAAACAGATGTTATCTGGTTAGAACATCTCACTGGATTACAAACCTGGGAGGTTATTGGGGGAACAGTCAAAAACAAAAGCACAGCCTTGTGTAATCTTCAGATAAATACGCAGTGACAAACCTGTTTTAATGGTTACTTGGCCTCTGTTGGCAAACTCCCATCTCCAATCACACAGCATTATGTGGATTTATTGAAATAAACACAATTATAAGATTTTTGTGGAAAAAGGACATATGAATCATTGTAAATCTAAAACAAAAAATGGTACATCATATAAGTTGCTGTTTCAGCTTTAGTTTTCTTAGTCCAAGTCAGTTTCTTATTAAAATATCTTGCACACCAAAGATGACACGCAGAGCTTTTGACATCTGACTAATTTTAGCACCAACAGGGTGAAAAGTTAGAAATGATCACCTGATGGATGATACATCTCTGGGGCTCCAAGTCATTTGTTTGCCAGATTTGTTTTTGTTAAACATCATTTTCAGCTTCTGGACATCATTTTCATTCCTCCAAATATCAATGTGAAAATGAGGAGAAAAAGCAAATAAAATCTAAACCCAAATGTCAGAAACCCTGAAGAACAAGATTTTGCACAACAACAGAAATTGGCTCATTGAAAGCAAACTATGTAGAAATGTACCATTTTTGTGCAGAACAGTGTTATGCAGTAATTCAACACTAATCGTGGATTGCTGTTGTGTGTGACGTGGAGTCACATGAGTCACAGTTTCACAATTTACTGGAAGTGAGCTGTGCAATAAACCAGACATACTGTGCAGTTTTTCCCCTCTTGTTTTTTAAATATTGGCATCAATTCGCTCGGAACATTTTATTGAACAGACAAATTAAACAGCATGTTATCTTTTCATTAACAATAAGGTATAACCCTTGAATATGACAAACTTTCAGCCACTAATTAAATTTGCTCAAGCTAACTCTGACTCAGAAATAATATATTGAAAGATAAGCTTTCAGAAATTCAGTCCTGTTTGCTTTAAGAACAGGTACGTTGTGTTCTTCAGAGGTGGGTACTGTCCTGTAAATGTTTTAAAACTTCAAGGAGCTTTAAAGTGGCCGTGCTGCTGTGTGGATAATAGATTATTATTCATGGAATAGAAACCAGCTGTGCTTCAGTTTACAGATCATCTTCAGTTCATCTTGAGCACCAGGTGCAGGCGCAGTCACTCAATTTTCACAAGAATTCCCTGAATTATTTTTAATTATGTTCACGCTGAACAGCACACTTAAGCTTTATTTATATGTAGTAGAATAATTCAAACTAAATGGTATTTAAAAGGAAAATGATAAAACTGCACTTGGCTCCAGCCCCCATGTCAAACACTGGCAGCTGCAGATGCCAGTGTCTTTCTTTCAGAATGACTCAAGTTCAGTCAGTCAGACTGAATGGAGAGCATCGCAGAGTGATGGACTTCTGCCTGGACTTTGACTGGGCCATTCTAACTCCAATTCTAAACCATTTCATTGCAGCTCTGACTGTTTATGGTTGTTTTCCTGCTGGAAGTTGAACACCAGTTTTAGGGTGGCCATTTATTGGATCATTTTTATCACAATAACATTTTTGATTTATTGTTGTCTTGATAAATCCCAATTAGTGACGTTATAAAAACTGACGGAATTACCAGAAATAATGTTTTTACTATTTTCTCCACGTCAATAATAATAATTAAATGTAAAAATATTAATAAATGTTGTTACTGTGTACAGCTTAGTGATATAAATCACATCTATTTAAAGTAAATGGGATCCTGAAGAAGCAAATTTCATATGGGAATGTTTTTCAAAATCAGTATTTGTGTTGCTATCAATGCTGTTCACAGTCATACCTACAGAAATGAAGTAATAACTAATTTATTATCAATTTTACTGTTATAATAATAGTACCACTAAATATTGTGAT